ACTGCAGAGCTGGGATTCAAACCTAGGCCTGCTATCCCACCTTTGGCCTCCAGAACAATCATCTCTGTTTACCAAGGGTGGAGGGGCTGGACTGCAGGAAGTGTTTCTAAAGACGAGAAGAGGCTGGGAGTCCAAGGTAGCAGACACCGGAGTCTCACTAGCAGGCCTCAAATATGGTAACTCCAGTGCAGCTGGTGAGACTTGCCCTTCCCACCAGACAGCCTTCAGCTCATGTCTAAGAAAGCCCTCTTCCATATACATCCTCATGGATCAGAACTTTTCAGCTGATGGGGACCACTGTGCTAGAGAAAAGCCACACAAACTGGAGGCCGAGAGCTGCCTCTGACTTGCTAGGTCACTTCCATAAATAGATCATCTCTCTGGGCATCCGCAAAAAAGGGAATGGGTTGGTAAAATCTACCTAAAGCCCAAAAACGTTACCTGGTTAAAAGATTCTGCAATAACCCAATTTCCAGTGAGGCCGGGGCGGGTGGGGAGAGTGTTATCCCCCACGCACCACCAAAAATTCTCCAGCACCAGCTGAGTGTCTTACAATTTAACTCCGTTTTGACACTACCCTGAGATAGCATCAGATTCCACGAGGTAAGGGTTCAGTCTTCCAAGATGCACCCCTCCCCCAATTTCAGAATCTACTTTTAAGCTCAGGTTGTTAGCAACGGGCTACAGACTGCAGGTTCTAAGGACCTGCCCCTGCCTAAGGTTTGATAAATTTGCAGAAGTGGCTCACAGAACTCCAAAATACCTTTCACTTACTAGATTACCGGTTTACTGTGAAAGGATGTAACTCAGGAACAATGCGATGGAATCGATGCTGAAGGCAAGGCATGGAGAAAGGACAGAGTTCCCATACTCCCTCCAAGGGCACTGCTCTCTCCAGATCTTCATGCGCCCAACAACCCAAAAGCTCTCCAAACCCAGGCCTTATGGGTATTTTATGGTGGCCTCATTACACAGGTGTAATTGATTAAGTCATTGCTATTGGTGATTGAACTCAATCTCTAGCCCCTCTCCCCTCCCTGGTGCGTCAGGTGATAGGTCTGAAAGTTTCAACCTTCTAATCACTAGGCTGACTCCACTGCCAACCAGCCCCCATCCTTTTGCTCTCCAAAGTCACCTCATTCACGTAACAAAAGACACTGTTATGGCTCACATCACAAGGAATTTCAAAGGTTTTAGGAGCTCTGTGCCAGGAGCAAGAAGGAAGACCAAATATATAATTCTTATTATAGACCACAGTATCACACCTGGCAAGAATTTACCAGGAGAAATAAATTACATTAATACACTTTGTAAAAACTACAAGCACCATGAAGATACGGATTACTCCTAGAAACAATATCTAATCTGTATCAACTTCCTGGTGCTACCGTTATGAAGTATCACAAACTGGTTTGAAACAAGAGAAATCCCTCCACAGTTCAAGAGGCCAGACGTGGGAAATAAAGGTGTCAGCAAAACTGACTCCTGGAAGCTGAAACTCCCTGCCTCTCGCCTAACTTCTGCAGTTTGTCCACAACCTTTGGCCTTCCTCGGCTTGTAGACAGATCCCTCCAATCTCTGCCTACCTCTGCTTCCACCCTGTGTGTTTGTATGCCCTTTTCTCTTATTGAAAGACACCTCCATTTTTACCTCAGACTTTCTAATTGATTCAGTTCTTTCCAGCTTCTTTCTCAAAGCAGGCAAAAGACCCTACAGGCAAAGCATCTCAGCACGGGAACCAGCAACAGAAACTACCCCATCAAGCACTAAGGACTGCCCTGAGCCAGCAAGACCCTGCCAGTGATTGACCCAAGATAATGATCGACCTGCCCTTTACTGCATGTACTCACCGACCTTTGTCCCACCTTCTCCTTATATAAATCAAGGAGTATTTTCAGCACTTTGGAGACAGTCTTTGAGATATTAGTTCACTGTCTTCTCGGTTTGCTGAAATAAATTCTTGTTTGGCTACAACTCATCTCTCTTCTTTGGATTTTGTTAGTGGTAAATGGCCGAACCTGGTCTGTTTGGGACCCAAGAAGCCTGGTACTCTTGCAACCCTGTGCCCCAACAACATCATAAGGACACTGTCCTTTGGATTTAGGGTCCATCCTAATCCAGAAGGCTCTCATCTCAGGACTTGCCTTAGTTACATGAGCAAAGACTCCAACTCCAAATAAAGTCACATTCTGAGGTTCTGGGTGGCCATGAACTTTGGAGGGGGAGGACACTATTCAACTCCCTACACAATCTAATGTCTTCTTTACAGCTGAGAAAGCTCAAGTTTTGTAAAGGGAAATGACTAACCCAAGGCCATACAGCTTCGCATGCATAACCAATGCTGGAGGCAGAGGAAGCATGGACACTGATTTTCATCAGTGGACAGGCCCTCCTAGGTCAAGATGAAAAAGCCCATCCTGCATGAAGACAACCAGAAGGAGGTTCTATAATTTCAATTTCTCCCTCCCAGGAAAGACAGGGAAGCATCTCAGTCCACAGAAAAACCACTGAGGCCAGAGAGAGAAACCGCGAAGCCTGCAGTGTGTCACAAGCTAGCTCCTCTACCAGACATAGAAAAGCCACCGCCTACAATTTCCTCCGCCTACAATTTCCTCCCCTTAAAGTTTCAAAACTCTGCTATAACTCATTAGAGAAGTGGCAGCCCTGGACCACAAGTTTGTGATGTGCTTCTCTGCTGCGTCCCCAGTTCTTAGGGCCAGGTGTGGCCACTGGGGATGTAAGGGGCAATTGGATCCGGTAGCTGTTTCCCCCTGGTTTTCTGTCTGATGATAAACCCGGCTTTGTGGAACTCTAGCCACACCACTGTCTCAAAACGGCTGCATTTTTTTTTTTCCAAAACCCAACATTCCATCAAGGGCACAGAGCATCTGTTTCAAGTCAGGAGCTAGAGCAAGCCTGTCTCACACGTGGTGTGGCTCAGAAGCCACAGCCATGGTACTTAAAACCCAGTGCCCAGAGATCATTTGCCTTTAAACCAAATTCAGTGGCTGAGACCTAATCAGAAATTGTTGGCATTTTTTTCCTAACCCAATTTAATTCCCAATCCCAACCCTTACCCCCACCCCTTAACCTTTGCTTTCTCTGGCCTAAATCCTGGAAAATGGAGTTTGGAAATGCCTGGGGGACTTCTTGGGTGGGCCCCAGGGCTTCAGGGAGAAGAGATAGGACTGAAAGGTACAAGAGGGATGAGGAAAGAAGCCAGACACAAAAGGTCACAGACTGTGCGATTTCATATGTAAGAAATGTGCAGAATAGGTAAATCCACAGAGAAGGGAAACAGATCAGTGGTTGCCAGGGTCTTTGGGGAGTAACTACGTAAACTGGGGAGTCCCTTTTGAGAATGAAAATATTTCAGAACTGGAGAGAGGTGATGGTTGCGCAACAAGGTGCATGTACTAAAGGACACCGAGTTGTTTACTTGCTAATGGTTACTTCTCTGTTCTGTGAATTTCACCTCAATTTAAAAAACATTCAGGTGGTTCAGTCGGTTATTTGGCAGACTCTTGGTTTCAACTCAGGTCATGATCTCAGATTCATGAGATCGAACCCCACATTGGGCTCTGCACTCCGTTCAGCACAGTGTGCTTCTCCCTCTCCCTCTGCTCGCCGCCCCCCACCCGGTCGTGTTCTGTCTCTCTCTCTCATAAATAAAAGATAAATAAATAATTTTAAAAACATTCAAAATGGAAGAGAACAAGGGTGGGAGGAGGATGAGGAAGGAAGCCCTGCAGCTGAGAGCAGCCAGCCTCGAGAACAGCCCAGAGCGAATGTCAGCTAACCCCTGCCCTTCCAGCACAGAGCGGCTGGCTAAGTGCCTGTGGCAGTCTCCCTAGGAACCTCAGCTGAGAAACTGTGCCCTGGGCCAGCTGGTCCCAACCCTAAAGCTACAAAGTCCTGCCTCTTCAATGCATCAGCTGAATCATTTTCACAAGCTTAAAATGAAATAAAGTAGAATGACGTATAGTGGGGAAAACACATTTTTTTAAAGTTAGGACTCTCTGCTTAGCTTCTCAGAAGTGCTTAAAATGTACACTGCCTTTTCTAAACTGAACCGAATTCCTGTTTTAAGCCACCACCCTGTAGCACTAGGCAACATTTTAATTTCAGTTCAGCATCTGCCACCCCCTTTCTCCAGAATCACACCTGAGTTCCAGGTATCTCTAGGTATCCTCTGAGGGTGTCCGCCCCTTGCTGTTTCCATGTAGTTCTACAAGCTGCCAAAATGCCCCCATACCCTGGACCTCTGGACACCTGTCCTGCTTTTGCCCTAAGTATCTGGCAGGTCATCTCCAAGTTTGCGGTTACTCTGTGCCCCCTCGCTGTTCTCCACTAATGTCTGGGAACACTTGGTGGCCCCTCTGCCATGCTGCGGCCATGTCGTGACAAGAAATGAGGTGGAGCTAAGGCTGTTTACCCACTCACTTGCCACTCTGAGACACACAGAAAAGTCATTTGATTGCTCCCCAACTGCACAGGGCTTTGGGAACTCTTCAAGACTGACTCAGTCATGGTTTCCAGCAGCTCTTTCTACTCCTTTCATGCCATGTTATGGCATCTGGAATATCCCTAGGGATACATCGCATCCCCAGGTTCTACCTGCAAAAGTGGACACAGGTCTCTACTCTGGAATTCCCCAAACCTATACACAGTCTGTGAGGTAAGATTCAAATCCAATCTGACTTTAAAACACAGGTACTTCCTCCTGCACATCACCTTGTTATATTTAATTGGATGCCTTAGAAAGTCATCCATCTTTGGACTACAGTTGAGGTGAGGGGGTTTTAGATGGAAAAACTGAAACAGATACTCCAACAGAAGAGCCTCAAGAGCACTGTAAGTGGGGTGCAGAAATAGAAACCTGTCAAACAGAAGTGTGTCAATGTGTTAGAGGATTCTTTTTCCTCTGTCGGTGCCCGCGGTTCTTGGTAACGCAGCTTTGAAGAATGAAGGCGTAGACCAGACAGAGTGGTGGGCAGCAAAGCAAGGTTTATTGAGTGATAGCAAAGGGACAGTACAAAGCTCCCAAGGAGGGAGGGGACCCGAGACAGTTGCCACTGGAGTTTCTAAGTTTAGGGGTGTTTATGGGCTTGTTAGTGGGTTGTTTTAATCTGATTAACCCTTTCTGCACCTGTCATCCAATCAGGTTTTTGTCTCCGATTTTTGTCACTGGGAAAGGGTGGAGGGCTCTTTCCAAGGTGGTGTAAAATCCTTTTAAGGGTGGTTTCCTCTGAGTGAGGGAGCGCTTGTCCCTGCCGGCCTGCCTGCCTTCCAACTGTCTTTCATCAAATGTGCCCCACTTGTTTGCACCCACCATTCCCCATGCTCACTTCTTCAAGGTTCCCTGTTCCCGGTAGGAGACCCTCATGGAGGAGGTAACCTGAAAAAGTAAAAAAGACACACAAGTTTATACAAAAACGAGTATCTAAAAGTTCCAGGCAATGGTCGAACCTTGAAGACATTACACCAAGTGAAAGAAGGCAAACACAAAGAGTCACATATGCGTGATTCCATTCACATGAAATGTCCAGAATACACGAATCATGGAAACAGAAAGTAGATCAGTGGTTGACTATTTAACAGGTATGGGGTTTCTTTCTGGGGTGATAAAAATGTTCTGGAATTAGTAATGAAGGTTGAAGAATTTATGTACTTCTAGTACATAAGTGTACTAGAAGTCACTGAATTACACACTTTAAAATAGTTAAAATGGGAATTTTCTATTATATGAAGTTTACTTCAATACGAAGAATCTTTCCAGACATGCTTGGGTTTGGGAATTAAGACTCCTTTATGTCTGGTTGGAGTGCTCAGAGAAGGAATCTGTACTGGAATACCACTTGGGAGAAAGTGTCATCTCCAAGCCTTTGCCCTTGATACACATTTTCAGTCAGCTTCTTCTTTAACTCTACAGCTGTCCCTTTAAAATTCTGCATAAATCTGGTTCAGACCCTCCAGCTCTTGATAAGCCCCACCTGGAACACACAAAAAAATTCGAAGGTTTGGGACTTTGCTCATTTCCAAACAACTGGGAATGTCTACAGTTGGAGGCACAGACTTCTAGTCCAAAAAGCCCCAACAGAAGTCACCCACCTACTGTGGGGAAAAGAGATTCTTCTAGTCTTGTCTCTCTCCTTTAGGCCCTCCGTGAAAGAACACATCACTCTCTTAACAGTAGTGACCACCTTTGGTTATGATAATGTGCTAGATCTGGTGCTAAGCACTTCATATACTTCTCATTCCCCCCAAAAACTATGAAAGTGATGTTATCATTCCCATTCTTCAGATAAGAATATACAGACCCAGTGGGTGGAGCTTCTTGTGTAAACTCATACAGCTGATAAGTGGCCCGCTTATCTGCCCGCACAGTCTCTGCTCGCAACCGTTGTATCACACTGCCTCTTTCCAGCTAGCCATGCTGAGTTGCCCCTCAGGACTTTGTGCCATTGCTTCTCTGACTTCTTAGTTCTCCCTTTTCACTGGTGTTGAGATTGTAGGAAGATATGTGAACAAGAGATTCTGGTTCTGGTAATAACAGAATAGCCTGTATCAAACTAACCCTCCCACATAACAATTATATACTCTGTATAAAATATTTTTAAAAAACAATTACCTTAAGGCACTGGACAGCCACCAAAGCAGGCAGAAACTAAGGGGATCTAACCCTTGAGAGAAATGAAGCACATTGGGTAAGATCTTCCCCTAAAGGCATATCCCTTTAATTCACACTGTGTATAGGGCCGGAGTGACTGGAAATGGAGGAGTGAAATCCAGCAAATGATAAAAGCACAAAAGAGACTTCCTTTTAAAATCAGTGTGCCAATTCTCCTCTGCTACTTGGCTGAGTGCTCATAGTAAGGTTTAGAGGGTAAGACTCTAAATTATCTAGAGGAAAGCAACTGCAGGGAGATTACAAAACTAAGCAAACACAGCCACATTAGAGAAGCTTGGTAAGCACATGACCTTTCCACTGGCGCTCCTTCAGGACCATGCCTTAGGACTGAGGACCACATACTAGGACTAAGGTCTATACCGGAGACTAGGATAGAACTGCAAGAGACAAGTCTAATAAAGGCTGAAACTACACTCCCCTGGAATTAAAGTGATTTGTCAGCAAGTGAACCAGCTACCGGGACAAAACCCAATACTTTTCAGAGAAAGATAACAGAATCAAAAGACTCTGGAGTCTATTACATATATAAGTACACAATAAAAATTACCTGGCATACAAAGAACCCAGAAGAGGAATCAGATATTGGAATTAGCAGATGGGAACCTTGAAATTAAATATAATAGACATATTTAAAGTATGTTATAGGAAAAGATGAATGTAATAGCTGGAGAGCTGGGGAATTTCAAGATAGATAAGAAAATTCCAAAAAGTAAGCCGAATGTCAACTCACAAACAAAAAGTACAATATTTGAAATCAAAAGAATTCCCTAGCTAAGATAACAGCATACTGCATACTCTAAAAGTGGAAATGAATGTAAAGATACATCAGCAGAAATTATCCAAACAGAATCACAGAGGGAAGAAATATTTTTCAAACATGAGCAAAGCCTCAATGGGAAACATTAAGTAATCTGACATCTGTGTCATTGGAATCCCAGAAGAAAAGGAAAGAGAAAACTAGGCAGAAAGCAAATATATGAAGATATAATGGCTGAAAATTTTTCAAATTCAATAGGAAAAATTGCAATCTACAGATTTAAGAAATTCAGAAAACCCCAAACATGGCAAATAGACACACACCCCCAAACAAAACCATGCCAAGACATACCATAATCAAGTTACTAGTGACTAAAGACAAGGAGAAAATCTTTATTATATCGAGGACGAAAAAAAAAAAAAAGACATATGACATAAACAGAAGAACAAATATAATTACTGCTTACTGCTTTTCAGAAACAACGGAAGCCAGAAGACAATGGGATGACATCTTTAAAATGCTTAGAGAATGGGTAACACCAGTAAATGGGTAACACCAGTAAAAAACCTACTCATACATGAAAATTATGTTCTTTAAGCGCCTACTCTTAAGAGAATTAAAGTTTGGGGCACCTGGGTGGCTCAGTGGGTTAAGCCTCTGCCTTTGGCTTGGGTCATGATCTCGGGGTCCTGGGATCAAGCCCCACATCGGGCTCTCTGCTCGGCAGGGAGCCTGCTTCCCCTCTCTCTCTGCCTACTTGTGATCTCTCTCTCTGTCAAATAAAGAAATAAAATCTTTAAATAAATAAATAAGAATTAAAGTTTAATGTTTTCTCATTGCTACAAAGGCAGCCAGAGCTTTTAGTCTAAGGCCCAGCTCTGAAAGTACACTAGCTATGTGCTATTTCCTCTCCGAGCCAGAGTTCTCCTATGTGAATGGAAATGATAATATCACCTTCATCTCCTAGAGGAACTAAATGAAATTGTAAATGTAAAGCACTTACCACAATGCCTAGCAGATACTGGGCTATAGATCACAGGGTGGACAGGAGATGGAAAAGATATAGACGATGGGGTCCATGCCTCCCAAAGCCCTTTCCAACTAGCTAGGCAACCAAGCTCTATGGCCAAGGATACTGGATATGAGGGACCTAGACTGTGGTCACGAGCACCACTATGACACCAGGTGAATGGGACCACACCTGAGCTACTTGGACTGAGAGTGCAGGAACAGTAGCTCCCTGGATTAATACTAGGGGCTGTTACTAAAAGAGGGGATGATGGAAGTGTGAAGGTAAAGAACAAATGTACACCCTAGATGCTAAAGGTGGGTCACAGTTTTCCTTCAGGGACCTTGTACATAAGGAAACAATTTGGCATAGGAGACAATACAAAACACTAAACGTGATGATAGAGGGATGCATGGGTTATAGAGGGGCAAAAAGGGAGAGGAGAAAGGGGTGATCGGGGAAGACCTCTCAGAAAAACTATTCATTTGATGAAATAAGACGAAACCAGAGATAGAGACAAACCCTAAGAGACTCTTCATTGGGGAGGGTATGGGAGGGATGGGATGGCTGGTGATGGACAGTGGGGAGGATATGTGCTATGGTGAGCATTGTGAATTGTGTAAGACTGTTGAATCACAGACCTGCACCCTTGAAGCAAATAATACATTATATGTTAATAAAATAAGTAACAATAATAATATTTTAAAAAGAAAAACTATTAATCTGAAATGAATATTCAGGGAAAAGTAGGAGTCCACAAACAAAAAAAAGGAAAAAGATTTTTCAGGCAAGCCAGGAGAAGACACTGGGAGAGGGGGTGGGAGTTGAGGCCACAGAGATAGAAACAGGCCATGCCCTGCTTTGTGAGCTGTGACAAAGAATTTGACTTTCTCTTCTCATGAGTAGCTTTCATTGTGTGTAGGTTGTTCTTTTTTGTTTTGTTTACCAAGACCCACAATAATAAAATCATTTTATGTGACTACCTGGACCATAGGTATGTACATACATATATCATACATGTATGTGAACATAAGTGCATATAAATATCAGATGTAACTACTCTGGAAAACTGGTACTTTTAATAGTTATCATACATCTACCCCGTGACCCAGAGATTTTACTCCTATGAGTATGGCAAAAGAAATGAGTAGAAATGAAAAGACATGTATAAGAATATTCACAGGAGCTTTGTTCATAATAGCCAAAAAGTGGAAAAAACTCAAGTGTCCATCGACATGAGAAGTGGATAAGTGCATTCACACAATAGAATACAATAATGACAATGGGCTAACTACAGCTACATGCAACACAAATGTATCTCACACATGTTGAGTTAAAGAAGCCAATCTCCAAAACCCCATTTAGTTCAAGAACAGGAGAAAAAAAAAAACAACCCCTAATTGATGATTAGAGCAGTCAGAAAAGTAATTATCTAGCAGGCAGGGTGGGCTAGTCTTGACTAGGATAGGGGAATGAGGGAGCCTTCTGGGGTACTAGATATGTTTCATGTCTTGGTCTAGGTGGTAGCTAAACGAGAGTGTGCACATAAAAAAACCCATCAAGCGGCACACTTAATCCTTGCGCACTTTACTGAATATGTTGTACCTGTTGGGAAATGTCATTAAAAAGATGTAACTGCCAGTTGACCTGTGAATATGACCTGGGCACTTGGAGGGCTCCTCATCCTCTCCTCTGTCCTGGGAATGTGGGTTCCTCTTGCCTTTCCCACTCCCAGAGGCTGCTCCAAGAACATAGCCTTGAGATGGAGATGTGGTGTTGAGAACACCTGCATGGTACATGTGACTGAGCCTAGTTGAGTCCTCTTTATAAGCTTACAAGATTTGGGACACCTGGGCGGCTCAGTCAGTTAAGCATCTGCCTTCCGCTCAGGTCATGATCTCAGGGTCCTCGGATGGAGTCCCATATTGAGCTCCCTGCTCAGTGGGGAGTCTGTTTCTCCCTCTGCCTATAGCTTTCCCTGCTTGTTCTCTCTCTCTCTCTCTCTCTCTCTCTCTGACAAATAAATAAATAAAATCTTTTTTTTTTTTTTAAAGTAAGCTTTTAAGATCTGAGGAATGGATCTGGGGGTCCATTCATCTTGCAGCTGCCCAAGACAAGCCTTGTATGTAAGTTCCCTTTGCTTGTTAAAACTGCCACCTACCAACTTGGAGCACCCTGCCCTTCAAGAGGTGGGCAGTTCAGATTATACTCAGGAAGCTCCCAAGAGAGTTCTGAACCCACAAAACCTCAATACAAAATTACATGTTACATTTAAAATAATCTGAAATAAATGTTTTGCAAAACAATACTTACATGTGACTGAAGCTGACATTTAATCTATTCAGTTTTTTTCATGCTGGTTGCAATTCACTGAATTGATTTCATTACCCACTAAAGGTCATATTCCATTATTTGAAAAGTACAGTTTTAAACGCTAGGGAGCCACTGAGTGTTTCAAGGAGAGGAGGGATGTGAAATGGGCTAGCATTTCAGAAAGTGCCCTCTGGGGCAGCATGAAAGATGGTCTCAAGTTGTAAGACTCAACTGGGAGCCAGGTAAGAGCCCATTAGGTCTGAGGATGGGTGTCAGAGGAGAGGGTCTTGAGCAGGGTCTTTCTTTCAGGTTTTAAGTTTTTGCACTATGCACGGACCTCTCACCCTGCAACACACCTGGCCCCCAGTGCCCACAGAACTGATGCCCCTCCTGCAGGCATGGCATCCCCCCGGGAGCAGCTGGCTGAGGGGAGTAGGCCCAATTCTCTCCACCGTCATAGCAAGCATACAAGTGTTTGGGACAGAGGCTGCCCTCCCTCTTCCCAGCAAGCTGTGCTCACCTCACAGTGCTATGAGGAGCCAGGTTCTAGGTAAAGCTGACAAGGAAAGAAAACAATTTGTGTGTCCAGTTTTTTCCCCCAAACATCACGCAAGTCACTTAATGAGTTTCATCTCATTTCATTCCTACAACAATCCTTTAGAATAGATCTGATCGTGTGCAAGGATGAAGAAAGTGAGGCTCAGGGGGGAGTAACACACACACACACACACAAAAACACACAGGGTCACACAGCTGTTAAGTGATAAAGCCAGGCTTAGAATCCGTGTAGACCAACAGAAAGCGCAACCCTTTCTGAAGAAAAGGCCTAATAAATGTGAGCGCGTCCCATCTTGATTTGAGACGCTGACTACAGAAGGGGAACCTCGGTCATAATACGTGCCAGTGCCCCTGGGGCTCAGTGGGAGTTTGCAGCGAGGGTGGAGAAACCTCCAGGAAGCAGGCTGCTCTCCGCATGGTACTGGCATTTCACATTCTCTGTCTGAAGTGTGGTAAACTCTGACTTTTCCCAATCTTTCATCCTTGCTT